AATTAAGCAACCCAGAACACAACTTGATCGTCGATTGTCGTCGCTCGTTACTCCTTTTACTGGCTGAAGTAGTGGTTACTTTCGCTTTCATTTATTATTTTGGAAAAAAAATATCGCCCGTTTTCACATCGGCAAGCTTAACAGCCGCAAATGTATCATCAAGCACCAAAAATCCCTCTCACATATTTGAAATACAGCTTGTGCTCTACTTAGGTGGAACAAAGACTTACTCCACATTGATAATGGCCCTAAATTGTTTAGACACAGTGAACTGTTGGATCTTTCTCGGAGCAGTTTTCAAATCTCCGCATTTCACCGGCTTGTGCCCTCTGATAAAAAATCTTATTCGTTTGCCAAGATTCTGGACCTTAATATTTATATTTGTGCTCTATGTTACAGGAAATGTTATTGAGAGCGCAAGTTCCTCACTTGTCGCATCCGTTTACAAATTTAGAGCTATGATAGCGGTTGACTTTACGTTCTCCCTGAATGCATTCTTTGTGACAATGACTCTTGGAGCTCTGAACGTAACGAAAGTCCGCCATATGGCACCTAGGCAAGTGCACTTAATATTTAAGGGGGCCCTGATTGTCTTCTGCTTTCGATTGCTTGTATATTTGATTATTACAATAATATACCTAACTGTAATCTTATATTTGATCGCTGGAGTGAAGGATAGCTATTGGCGGAAGGGAGGCACGTTTATAAACTGTATTAGTAGTTTTCTTTTTTTGCCGTTTTACAAAAAAGGAACTGAACTTGCGTGGACAAAAATTCTTCGTGATGACAAGAACATTATAGGGAAAATTAGAGGCCCTGAGAGACAAGACATTGTTTTAGACAGTGGCATCTAGGCTGAAAATCATCAATAGCTTTCTCTTCAGCAGTCCGAAGAAGCAATGGGTTCTGTAGCTCTACCTTTTAGCAATAATACTGTAATAGCATTTGATTACTGGGGAAACCAATATGAAAGTGACATGTTGCTACATATCATTGCCGTTAGCTTCAGTCTGTAAGTTAGAGTTCTTACCGTAAAATACCAACAACTTGCCCAGCCGATAAACAATACGTCGCTTATTTTCCACTTGACTGCAGAGGATAACGATTTAAACTTTAAGACATCATGAATCGAGAGCAACCGATGACGGTCCTCTTTTCAAATGTAGCTGGCCATAAATCATCTTATTCTGGAAATCAAAGACAACGAACCTGCAGTCTTTCAGCACAAGGGGCAACATCGAAATACCTCTTTACGGTGCACTGCAGATCAGATAAAATTAGACCGAGGCCACTGAAGATCAAATTAATTATCAGAAACTTTTCCAACCGTTGAATACGAGCGCTCGCAGTACTGGAAGCAGTAATTTGAGCACGAGTGGTAGTTATAATAGAAGCAGTAGTAATAAAAGTAAGGCCATTTATTCCACTTGTATGTATCTTTCGGTATTTAGTGTGATATAATTACTTTTAAAAATAGTAGAAAACCAAGCTGATGGAGTGACAGTTCTTGTTATAAGTGCTCAGTCTCCCAATCATTTTAAATTCTGAGATCTAAATAGGAGTGATGAATCAATGTTTGTGAATAAACAAAAATCATGTTTGTGAAGTGTGGTTAGAGAAATGATTATGAGAGTGTTCATCGTAGTAATCACGTCAAGGGCTTATTACGAAGTAACATGATGACCAGCTCCCAGTTGGCTTAACTTGCAACTTGTTAGCTCAGTTAATAGAGCACTACACCGGTATCGCAGGGGTCATGACTTTAAATCCCGTACAAGCCTGAATTTTTTTCAGACCTTATTTTTACCACTGCTTAAATGTAGTGTTCATTACTGCAAAGATCGCTCTCATATTCAATTCTCTCACAGCAGTTCAAATAAATGATTTTTTTCAGAAATCCACAAATATTGAATTTGAGATCTGTTCATGTTGTAAGACGACAGTTAAGCCTTGTTATCGAGATGTAGTCAGTCGTAAAAGCCGAAATGTTGATGGCCAAGCTAAAACATTTCGCATTTTAAGTCGCAATGTCTCCTTGACACCGGTATCGCAGAGGTCATGGGTTCAAATCCCGTACGGGCGTGAATTTTTTTCAGGCCTTATTTCCACTACTATATAAGCAGGGTTTATTACTGCGAGGATTGCTTTCTTACGTACATTTCAGAGAAAGCCGCTGTACACATGCACGTTTTCCATATATTCAAATTCATTAGTTCTGACTATCTTTTTCATACGACTGCTTGTAAATTTGATAATTACATATTAATTTCATCTGGCTGTAATTTTCTACTCATAAGCTAAAGCAAAGAAATATTTGCTAAAATATAGTGCTGTTCTAATGTAAGCATGCTTTTATACCTACAACCCCGGACAAAACTGTTGAGACATTTCAATGCAATTTTTAATTTCCCGCCATGCAACAATCGTTTCCAAAAGGAACAAACTTGCCCCCCTCCCCACCCCTGGTACAATGTTGTTGGGGCTTAACAGCTCAAGCATGCATTTCTTGTGTTACCGCAAACAACACTGCAATAGGGGAGGGGGGAAACAATCTTTAAATTTGCGACGGCAAGCATTTTTGTCAGGGTGAGTGCAAAAAATAGGTATTTTTGTAATGTGTCTCAACAGGTTTTGTCCGAGGTTGTAGCTTCTTGAGTGCTCTCCAAACTTCCCAAGTGCTTCAAGTCTTGATGAACGCACAGCTGACACATAAACCAATTGTTTTATAACATTTTCAATGCTGTAGTTTATGTATAAAGGGCACAAAATTCCCTCTCCTACGCTTCCATGCGTTGTTTATTTTGTTTCGCAAAAGTATTTCGCTATGCTTCAATGATCTTGTCTTAGATCGGTAAAAAACTGACAGGTGAATTCATGCGTGGAAATGAAGTTAGAGTTGCGAAACGAGATGAAACCGTTGATTGTTTTGTTTTCCCTTTCTCTGGGTTTTTTCTCGGGAGTTGAAAAATCCATTCCCAAAGAAAAAGTAGGCAGATCTTCATCTGCTTGTTCTCTTGTTGCCATGTGTAGTTTAACTTTTTTTGCGGTGGTTTTTCCCGTTTTCTAATGAAAAATGCTGGTCACTCGCGAGAAAAAATTTCGTCGGGGCGAAGCACTTCGCTCCGACGAAGGGCTAACGCTCGAAACGTCAGCTTTTGTAATCGTTACGGCGTCCAATTTACCATTTCAACTTTGTTGATATATCCAAAATAAAATTGATACTGAACGATAGTTTGTAATATCAGTGGGGTCTCCGCTTTTGGGATTGGTGTTACCTTGGCAGTTTTCCAGCGACTGGGAAAGAAGCTTAAGTTGAAAGAAAAAGATCAACTTTGCGACTGAAGGTGCAATCATCGGAGCAGTTAGTTTCGGCATTCTAGAACTGATGCCATAGAAACCAGCCGATTTATCAGCGCCACCATATATATCAGACCTTCGAGACATTGGTTTGAAATCGTGGTCGAAGGTGAAGAATTAGAAGGCTAGGTGTCGATACAGGAGATTGGAAGAGTTTAATGTTTGCACTTTTTCGACAAAAGCAAAAAATTCTGGTACACTCCTCTCCTGTTGGTTACACGATTATCTAACCTTTACACACCAAAGGGCGTATCTAAATAGGTCTAATCGCCTCGGGAGTAGCCCCAGTCCCCCACATAAATGAATTACCAAATGGGCAAATCACATATTCCTCAGCGTAATCTTAGATCCTCAACCGAAAAGATATTGAAAATACCTCGCTATAAATTTACTTTCGAAGAGTTATAGATCGTTCTCGGTATCTGCGCTATCTCTTTGGAATTCTCTATCAAAATATTCATTCTCTTGTTTCACCGTTTATAAAGGGTAACAAGCTCTGTGTATAAAAGACCTAAAACTCTGATAAATTTGTCCGGTTCAGCATGCATGGTATAGGATCACTCCAAGTTTGTTCAATGTAATATTGAACGCCCTCATCTACAGGTGCTTTCCAGCCTTTTTCGTCCGAGTTCTTCCTCGTGTCCGTATCAAGGGAACTTTTTTCAGGTTCAAGATACTTCTCACGAGTTGTAGCTGAGTAATCTTTTCGACCAGTGTCAGGTATGAGTTCAACCGATTTTTCACTCGTATGTTTTCGCAGTGCTGTTAAGGTAAGATATTCTTCAACCTCTGTCTCTCCATTCATGTGCGCCAATTCAGCTGCATCCTTTCCTTCGACTTTCAAGTTGAAGTCAGCACTGAGTTCGATCAGTGTTTTAACAACTTGAAAGTTACCATGCATCGCTGCCAAGTGTAGTGGTGTGAAGCCATCTTTGTCACGGGCGTTTATATCTGCTTTGTACTTCACCAGCAGCTCCACAATATCGGGACTATTACTTTTGCTCGCGAGATGAAGTATGGTATAACTTTCTTGATCAGGAAAGGCAGCGCCCATTTCTTTGACTTTCCTTTTTATTTCATCTGGAGGATCCTCTCCCTTTCCATACGCTAGGATGAATCCAAAGGCTGTAACGTCGAGACTACCTTCTTCCGTTCTCTTTACGAACGAAGGCAACAAAGCTTTCTCCACTAGGATGTAACGCCAGGCTGGTTCTCCCCTGTCTTTCCCACGAACAAGGTAAACTCTGTCAACCTCTTTATATTTCAAATCCACATCAGCACTGCTTTCTAGAAAGACTCTGACCAAGTGTTCATGTTTATTTTTGACTGCCAAATAGAGCGGAGTTTCTTTGCTGTTGTCCTGCAGGTTGATGTCGCATCCTGAATCAATCAATAACCGGGAAAGACTAAATAATCCTTTACTTGCACAGGCATGCAGTGGTGTCCGTCCATTGATATCTTGAATTTCTTTGTTAGCTCCATGCCTCAATAGGATCTCAGTGGCCATGTAATTGCCACAAGAAGCTGCCAAGTACAGAGCTGCCACCTCGTCGTCTGTGCTCTTGGCGTCTATATTAGCTCCAAGATCAAGGAGGGTCTCAATGATCTCACCAGAGGATGATGAACTCGCAGAAAACAAAGGCGCACGATTGTTTTTCGATGGAATATTTATATCTACTCCTTCATTAAGGACAAGCTCAACAACCTTTTCTGCATCATCGTTGTCTTCGTTTAAGAGTGGGCTATAGTCATGCTCAAATACGGCTGCTTGTAGTCGATTGAAGGCCGGTAGTTCGTCTGCATGCAGACAGGCTTTGCGTGAAAGGGACCTCAGGCTAGGCTGAAATGGAAGTGAAAATATTTCTTTCGAAACATCTTAAATTAAAATGTGGGTTATATTAAAAACAGGTGCTAATAACTCTATATAATAGATTTCAAGTAAAATGACCAACAGATCATTCATTAGATAGAGGTGTTCTTCTTGTCATCTAAAGGTGATTATTCTAAGGATACTTTTTGTCAATGATCAATAATGTACGATATAAAACCATAAGATCCTTAATCTCTACAAAGAACACGTTTGAAAGAATTCGATTCTTTCAGGTTACTTCCCACCTTCGCGGGTGTACCTCGGCAAAAAATTCGTACGCGCGCTTGTTTAAAGAAAATCGTAACAAGCTCTACATCAGAAGAAAGCTTTATAAATGTAGTTTACGATAAGGCACAATCACAATCACAAGGCATCAATCAACTAAAGTTTGTCTGGCTTTTCAGAAATTCTGATTGGTTGTCTAGATATCCGCATCTAAAGTTAGATATAAAGTTGAACACAAAGTTAGAAACATCAAAGTTAGACACACTTTCGTTGGTCATTATCCCTGGAATGTTTTGACGAAATTTGACGAAAATCGGTCAAATCTACAGACGCAATAAATTCGCTCAGAGCGTATGTATTTCTCTCAAAATCAAATGCAAGATTTTAGCTATTAAAGGTTTGTGGACAGCTTACGCCACACCAGGAGATTATCTCGCCTCCTGAAACCGCAAAAAAAAAAAAAGGGACAACGGGACCTCCTGGCGTCAATGACGATGGATCAAGATATCCCGGGAAAAGTAACGCATAGCAGACAAGGTTTCTTATATCTCGATCGCTAAATGGAGCGTTGAGAAGGACAACACAATATTAGGCCACCTAAAAACCCGGATAATGTACTTACATGACTAAAAAGAAACCTCGCTTTTAACTTAATGCATGACAACTTTTGCTTTGACGTCGACTTCTTTGTTTGAAATCTGAACGCCAGAGTAGAGTAGAATACCAGTCGCTTTTATCAAGGATATTTTCTTTTCTTGACAGAATGGTACTCTTCCTTCTTATTTGAGCCAATTTTTTTTCTATTTTTACCCAAGGACTCTTGCTGCTTTTGAATTTTCCAAGAGCAAAGATTTTTCCAGAAGTGAAGAGCTTCCACTGTGAATTTTGTCAAGTGTGCGATGTAAACAAAATATGCAAATAATATCGTTACCATTACTCGCACTGGTGCACAATCGTACTAGACAGAACTATGGCCAAATATCCAAACAAAAACAAAATTGAAATGGCAAAAGATAATGTCATTTAACGAAAAAAGGCGTGCTTCTGTTCTCCTGTTTGACAAAGTCAATTTGAAAACAGAAATTCTCCCCAACTTTTTGGTCACGCAATCAACATACTGCGTGTTTTCCATGTGCTATTTTAAAGATTCTCCTGCGTCGCGAGAAAACATTTGCCTACAGTAAACTTTACGTCACTTTGAAAATCATTCCTTCGGCAATTTACATACGTAATATGATGGAACGCTGAATGATGGCACATGGTGAAAAAAGAGGTTTTTTCCACCGGCATTTTTTTTGTAACTGAAGAGAGCACACTGTTTTCCCACGTGGCTAAAAGCTACTAAACAACCAAATCCTACGCAACTTACCATTTTCTCTCGATTTTACAGAAGAGAAAGAGTCTTTAAAAGAGCATGCTTTGGTTAGATTTCCCTAAACGCAATATCTTTGAAAAGCAAAGTGAGCGAAAGTGTTCAATTTTCGACCTGTTATGACCCGATCCATCAATTCCAAATGGTGAAAGTGAAAAATTCACTTTTTTCGAAAAAAAAAACATATTTCAGAGAAAAAAACTAGGCAGCGTTTCTTGTCTTACTTAGGTGCAAAATTTGAGATGACTGGAATTTTTGACACTTGCCAAAAAATTTTCACTTGTTTGATTTTTGCACGGATCTCGTGATGAACGATGCATATACCATAATGTGGCCTTCAACAGCCACAGCACACTAGAAAGGATAAGTTCTTCACTTATATTGAGATTCTTTGCTTCCAATAGTTTTAACCTGTCATAATCGCAGAGCAAACGGAGAAAAAAAAAAACAAACAAAGAAACAAAGAGATCGAAACTTCTAATCACAAAGGCTCCTAGGAGCTACTTCATGATATATCTTACCGTATTTTCTCGATTAAACGCCCCCGGCGTTTAATTAAAAATCGGCCTCGTTGACCCGGCGTTTAATCGAGGTCGGCGTTTAATCGGGGTCCGGCGGACAGAGCTGAATAACACGCACGCATGCGCTATATTTTGCCGCGGAAACACGGATTTTGAGTCGTTCGCATGAGTGATTTCCTATTCTGTCGCTTCGAGATGTCATTTTCCTTGTAATAGTAATAGTAATCAAAGTTTAATGTCTTTACGTGGGGCATGGTTACCCATATTGCCCGAGCCAGAGGCTCATGTACGAAACGCAAGCCAACAACCCACCCATTCCACCCCAGGGGAGGACATCCATCACACAGTAATCTCGTGCGTGCGAAATTAACGTCTCCTACCCCTAACCCTGCAGGAGACGGGACCTTCATTTATTCCTCCCTATCCGAGAAGACTAGAATATCTAAACCATTTCTTGATGTTATAGAAAGGCAGCATATTCTCCTCAATTATTTCAAGACCGTGAGCGTTAAATCGAGTTTCCAGATGGGAACCGTGAGCGGTGGTCCCCTTTTCTTTTACAGAACAACCTCCAAAAACTTGGTACACCCCCTGAAAAGTTTAAAAAATTAATTTTCTCTTTAAAACCTCTGGAAATAGGAAAATACCTTCGATGAAAACAGAGTTCCTCGGTTTTAAAAGTCAGCCCTTACTATTTTCCGCCAATTTCGCTTAATTTTAGACCTTGGACACTTGAGCCCCCGTTGTTGACGGCAACCCGCTGACGTAGCATTTCATTATTCAGCTCTGTCGGTCCGGCGTTTATTAATGAAAGGCAATTTTCTGCCATTTTTCTAGGTTGATTTACTATTACCGATCCTTGGAAACCTAAGGACAGTTTGTCAGTCCCTGGACGATTTTTCCCTGGATTACCCGAGGTTACAGTAGTATGTTACCGTACATGCGGCACGTGTACCATGTTGCAATCAAGATCTTTATCACTAACAAACAGCACATAAACAATATATGAATGATGTGGAACAGGTAGTAAATGATATGAATGCAAAGGTTTAAGTTTATAAACGGCAATGTCAACAACATCCGTCTTCAAGAGGTTACTATTTAGTTGCAATCGGTCCTTGTGACCTCGACCCCGAATAAACGCCGGGGCCCCGATTAAACGCCCCCGGCGTTTAATTAAGTTTGATCCGGCGTTTTTTCGAGGCTGGCGTTTAATCGGGGTCCGGCGTTTAATCGAGAAAATACGGTAATTGTTCAAGTGGTGAGAACTTTACTTCTTGGCCATCTCCTTTCAATAGCGCGTGACGTACCTAACCAGTTGATTATTACCTTTAGAAGCGTAAGCCAGAGCACTAAAACTTGGAGCTAAAAGAAAACCGTATGCGAAATAACAACAGATATAAGATGAAGTTCAAAGACAACGTTTACTTGAAAGTCAGACAAATGACGCGGCCAAACAGCGACAAAAATAGCGGAGAATGATAATTAAGTTGACGCTGAAAACTGCGAGTTAAAAATTATCTGACTGATCTTATTCACTTACTGGGAGCGAAATGCTCACAAGGTAATTACGTAACAAAAAAGAAAGGTACTATCAAATGAAATCTGTGAAATCTCATAATAGGGTAAATCAGCAACACATATGTGTAAAATGTTGCCCAAACGGCACCCAAACAGATACGCGAAAATCAAATTGAAGGAGGGGGGCATTCGAGCCTATTGGAAACCGCAAAATCGTAGAAAAAATCATCCAAAACCGAAAAACCGAAATAAAAATCGATCAAAACCGAAAACCGCATCTAAAACTGTCAAAACCGATACATTTTCACATCCCAATTACTAAAACCCTGATCGATCCGACACAGTGGTGACAAGTGGAGCATACAGAGTAAACTAAACTAATTTCATTACAGTATTTGTGAATGAAACGGACTTGGCATTCGTATCTTCTAGTATCTGCTCAAATTATAGGCTTTATTTCAGCTGCTCTCTCGAGGTCCAGTAGAGTGAATCGCCTTGAAACGCTCTTTATTTCTTTTTCGTTGCTTCCCCGCCATGGAACAGACGCTCATGGTAATTAGTCATAATCTTCCTCACCGATCGCGAATTTCCAATTTATCATAGGTGTAGATGTTGCGTATTGTAAGTGTATGAGGACTGTAAGTCTTCTTTAAGTCTGTATCGTCCTAAACGAGCCATATATTATATATATAGCAGGGGCGTAGCGTGAGATTTCTAAGGTGTATGCACAGCGCGGAAATTGGGAGCGCCGAGGGCGCCCCAAACTAGGGGGGGTCTGGGGCATGCTCCCCCAGGAAATTTTGAAATTTAGGGTCTCGGAAATGCCATTTCGAACTATTTCCGCGGAACTTTTTTTTTTAAATTAATGCGACGTAAAATGCAGTAGTTAGCTGTTTATTTTACCCATCTCTAGAGTTTTATAGCTAAAAGGGTTGTTGGCTTCCTAACATATCTAGAGAGTTAACAAGTCTAGGAAGCCAAAGACAGTTTCAAGTCGTTTATGGATTAATGAAAAGGCACTGGAAAAACAAACACACGCGCTAGTGTAATTCAAAATTTAAAATCGGCCCTATTTTATGGTAACCGTGACAAATCCTCTAAGGGAATAAAAAAATTCTTTTTAGATTTCAGGTGTACGCACAAGCGTACGTGCGTATATGGACGCTAAGCCCCTGTATAGGATATAGCGATTTATGACAAAATCCACAATTGCTTCTTAAGGTCCTTGACCCTCTTCCCGGCGCGTTTGGCACGTTGGAAGACATGATCGACGTTGACCTAAAATAACATTTGCGTTTAGCGGCTCTTCGAGATCAGTGGAGGCGCGTGATTGCCGCTCAGATCGAAGAGAAACCGAAACCCAAATAGGTCAAGTAAGAAAAACCGAAAACCCCATCGGATATCAAATCCGAAAACCCGTTAGTATTTTTCGCGAAATCGAAAACCAAATGCTTCAAAACGGAAAATCCGCAAACCGCAAAGAATACCAAAACCGAAAAACCGATCTAAAAAATAGCCAAATCCGCAAAACCGAAACTCCTGATGTCCCCCTCTTGAAGGAAGAGTTAAAATCATCTACCAGGGTCAAATCAGCTGAAACCTTTGAAAACTCAAAACATGGTAAATCAACTGCCAAATATGTCTGAAATATGACCAAATGACATCTCAACGGATATGCAAAAATCAATTTGAAGACAAGAACTAAAATTGCTCCGCGGTGCAACAAAATATTTCCATATCGATCGTTGAGACTATTGTTATCGTCGATTTTAAGAGATCTTCTATTCAGTTGAGTATTCTTCAGCACATTTCCTCTTTATTTGTGAGGTCAACAAGGGTGTATTTTGATCAAGGAAGGGGCAACACGAAGGAAAAGCCAGCTAGATCATTTTAGCCCTCGGGCCAACGGCAGACGCCATTTTGAATTATGTCGATGTACTGCGGCGAAAATGTCGGTCTTTGTACCACCCCAAAAATATTTGAACAGATGCCAGTAGAACGACCTTGGGTATAGAAACAAACATAGTAGGGGAGGCGGGGGATAAACCGTTTGATCCAAGTTTTAATCGTCCTTCCACACCTGACTCTTACTGTATGGCGTCCCAATGACGCCATGAAGTAAACCTGATAGCTAATTTGATGATTGAGATAATCAGAGGAAGCATACTGGACATAAAACATACTATCATAGGAGACGGGCAAAGTGAGGTTGATCATATAAAACAACCAGTTACGTCAACGTAGTTAAAGAAATAATATTTAACAATCAAACAAAGGCCACCGAATAACGATTAGTATTAATCATAACACCTACTATGGTCATTCTACAGACGCTACGAAAAATTAGTTATTAGAAAGAAGCCTGTTAGGAAATGCTGTAAGGAAAGCCTCTAAACACTGATTTCACAGGGGCCATTTCTATGCATCGGGATATGTTTGCAATTGGAGACATTGTTCTAGACAGCATAGGCGGTCCAAGCGTACTGTGTGATTTTGGGGTGTAAAGTTCCTTAACGGCAATAACGAACATATTAGTATTGAATTTTAAGCGTCTATGGGGGCCGTAAAAAAAGTAAAAATTATAAAAAAAAATTCAGAAAAAATTTTAAAGGATAATCAATTTTTTTTTCCTTTGGACTTTCACCTAGTTGGAGCTTGCTCTGTTGTGATTGTTCCTCACTGACCTTTTTGCTTTTCGCTTTTCTATGGGCGGCCATCACCACCAAAAATACAAGGATGTCAAATAGATTAGTAAATACAAAGGTGGTTTAAGGATCAGCTGCAGGATAGCATAGCTAATAAAGGAATGGCATGGCCAAATTATAGACAGTCTAGGTTTCCTTCATGAAACAACACCCCAAACATAAATAGTTTAGCCAAATGATAAACGGTCTAGTTGCCCATGT